CCCACATTCCCCCCTTCGTATATTTCCAACAGATGGAAAGATTAAGAGCCACATTACAATAATCGAGTCTGGACCAGTGGTTAAATGTAAACATTTATTTTGTCATCATACCACAAGAACATTTAAAAGTGAGAATTATTTATTTCAAATTTTGTTTTATTGCAGGAGTCATATTTTGTATGCTTAAATCATATATTAAATGTTTTGGCATCATTTGAGTGCAAAATTGATAGAAAAACTTTAGAATAATGAAAAATTAGTGTATTGATTGATAAAAAGAGGCAAATTACGCGATTTTTCTGCAATTCTGTGGTGAGTCACATTTTCTGCAAAACTTTCCCTGAAATTTGCCTGGGACTGATGAATACATACAACTGATTTGTGGTGTAGTAGTGACATGTATCTATCTTCAGTCAGCTAATGAAATGAGGCCATGTATAACTCACACAGGTCAAATGAGTCTACTCTGTGCACGAACAAGCATTGCAGATGGCCGAAAGTCACACATTGCATGAGATATATTTGCTGTTTGTGCAATGTAATCTGACAGCTTATTGCACTATCAACTTTCTTTGTTCCATTTGCACATAAATTATGCAATTGACCAGCCGACTTTCTCAGCCAATCAATTGAGAGGGTTCCCCATGTGCGTTACTTACAGTGAGGAAATCCATGGAGCAGCACATATGCAGTAGCAGCAACTACTTGAAGAATTTATTTTCGAGTTGACGATTGCTTGTTCTTATTTTGGGGTCAGACCATGTTTTTCAGGTTTGACAGTTTCTTAAACTGCAGTCAAAAGCACACCTCTTCTGTCATTCAAATAATAAGAACTAATTTATTTCTTCAATGCATATATCACATTAATGTTGACTTGGTCAAGTAATTATTTTCATTATAAACAAAAATCTAAATCCATACTAAACTGTACATATATATGGTGTAACATTGTTTTCTATGTACGAAACCGCCTCTGTGGTCTAGTAGTAGAGCGTCTGCCTGGAGAGCAGAAGGTCCGGGGTTCAATCCCTGGCCGTGTCATACCAAAAGATTTCAAAAATGGTACTTGTTGTTACCCTGTCTGGCGCTCAGCACTAAGGGGCTAAACAAGGACTGGTCTGCTCGTAGTCAGTACACTGTGTCTGAGTAGGGTATTCATGTTAAACTGCGGCCTGGTATCTCAGTGGGCTAGCACTATAAATCGTCATCAGTCTGGACTAGTACAAGCAGCCACACACACACACACCTTCATGTGTATGCACGTTGCTACATAAGTGCAATAATCTTGGACGCGACGTTAAACCCCATTTCACCTCACCTCGCCCATCTTATGTACAAAATTCAGCCAAATCTCAATGTCTATCAGCAATATAATTTACTTCATCTGAACTATTTTTTGTTTAGATGCAGAACAATTTAGAAAATAAGCAGGAATTAATTACTCTCGGATTAATGCATGAATTCTCACATCTGACTGAGTGAGTGTTATCAACTGCAGTCAACAACACTCCAGCAATTCTTGTTGGCCTGTACAAAATTTGGCTCCAAAGAGACCAGTGATTGATAACATGAGGATTGAGATTGATCATATCAACAACTACAAGAGGCATGGAATCTGTCTTGATCTGCATGAGTGCTGTGTGCCAATCTGTCACTGAGGTTGGGCTGGAACAGGTAACCCGGGTACTCGGGTCAGATGGGTAGTGAGTACGACTAGGGACCCAAAGGACTACCTGGACCCATCGTTAGTCATATTGTTTAATGTCAAAATTTATCTAGAACTCTATGGTTACACTACAAGTCACTAATGTTCTCATTTCTTTCTGACTGCACCCATTCCTTTTGACTTTTATACCTTTGAATAAAGATATAACTTCAGTCAACTTCAGTGTATACAGAACCAGATATATATGTATCTGAATACTTTTTGTCAGGGCTAGAGTCAAACTATTCCCAACTGGTCATTTAGTACCTATCTCTTGAGACCTACAGCTGGTACCCTGGTAGGGTCGGGTAATAGGGGGATGGGTACCCTTGTAGTAAATCTGGACTCGTCCCAGCTCTACAGTTGTGGTTACCCTTCCAAATACTACTCATATTCAGAGGCCACTGTGTCCAGCTAATCCCCACGCTTGGTCAGCATGACTTTTATCAGCATACTGAATTACTACTAGCTATTCTGCAACATATTTCCATCACGGTGAGTTAATGAGTTATTGCCGCTTTGAATGGTATTTCAGTTATATCATGCCGTGTTACTTAATATAGGAGTTCAGCCTGAAGTGATGCAGGTGTTTTACAACTTTGGTAAAAAACAAGAGAGAGTGATGGCAGTTTCAAGAACTAAGAATAGTACTCAATCAAAACGACATTTGCTAAGAAAGGGGATTATTCTTAGTTTTCCTTATAATCCATCAGTGCATACTTCCCACAGGTGCCCAGTGTTGGAAATTGGCACTAGTTCTACTGTTGTTGCCAAACTGCCCAATAGCTAAGGTATCCTAAGGACAAGCAGAAATATGCCCTTTTTATAAAGACTAGTGGACCAAAACTGTTAGTTTCTATCGCTTGGTGAGCAATGATAAATTGACATTCTTCACCTTTCTTTTTAGCAGTTACAACTTGGTATTTGTGGGAAATATTGCCCTGAGAATCATCAATATCACTCAACAGTGGACATGTTTCTGTCAATATCACTGAACAGTGGACATGATTCTGTCAATATCACTGAACTGTGGACATGATTCTGTCAATATCACTGAACAGTGGACATGATTCTGTCAATATCACTGAACTGTGAACATGATTCTGTCAATATCACTGAACAGTGGACATGATTCTGTCAATATCACTGAACAGTGGACATGATTCCGTCAATATCACTGAACAGTGGACATGATTCTGTCAATATCACTGAACAGTGGACATGATTCTGTCAATATCACTGAACTGTGAACATGATTCCGTCAATATCACTGAACAGTGGACATGATTCTGTCAATATCACTGTACTGTGGACACGATTCTGTCAATATCACTGAACAGTGGACATGATTCTGTCAATATCACTGAACAGTGGACATGATTTGTCAATATCACTGAACTGTGAACATGATTCCGTCAATATCACTGAACAGTGGACATGATTCCGTCAATATCACTGAACAGTGGACATGATTCTGTCAATATCACCGAACAGTGGACACGATTCTGTCAATATCACTGAACAGTGGACACAATTCTGTCAATATCACTGAACAGTGGACACGATTCTGTCAATATCACTGTACTGTGGACACGATTCTGTCAATATCACTGAACTGTGGACATGATTCTGTCAATATCACTAAACAGTGGACATGATGACAGCAGTGGAAGTTAATGTGTAATTAGTGAGCAGACATTTATATATTTGAAACCTCCAGCTTACACCATTGACTCCAATTTCAATTTCTGGGCAAAGAGTGAGTAAGCAAAAGAATACTCAACACCAGCAAATATGAAAACACATAATAATCTTTATCTCCTAAACATTAATTCATATTATAATCCACCCTACTGAAATACCATATCCATTTATTTATAAACATATACATGATATAGATAATTTCCACAATAAAACTACAATCTTGAAGACAATATCAATGGTTTTGGTCTGATGGCTCTAGGCTTAAAACTGTGTACAGACCTCCCACACAGTCATTATTTGGGTAGAGCTTCACATTTTGTATCTAAACTCACTAGGGAAATCTACAAATAGTAAAATAAGCATTAAACAGGTGGAAATGTCCAAAAATAAATCTCAGGCAAATTTACTATGATGGAGCAGGTATTTAAAATGTCAGCCAAAACTTGTTGAAAAAATTATGGCTGTGGTGAGATGTCACAGGACATAGCAGCATTTGAGGGACGACAGGCGAGAGGGTATGAAAACACAGCTCTCAGAGCAAGCATAGGCCCACCAGGAGACAATGGTGAGGACACAGAGTTGACAGATGAGGCAATATTGAGGAGGGGGAGTGGTGGCGCAGGGGGGGGGGGGGGGGGGAAGAGAAATGTTTGACGGATGTGAACAACAATCAGCACACATAGGTAATAAACTCAATGTCATTCTGATTACCATGGAATTAATACCCACAACTATGAACATGATGAAGGTCAAAGGTTGAAGTTCACAATACACAGCAAAACATAACATGTTTCAGAGGTCAGAGGTTTCAGATGTCAAAATGTTTCGACACCAAGTAATACAGACACTGACATAAAATGTGCTAGTGGTCCAGCAGAAAGTTTAGTATTTTAAAGTGCAAGTTTCATGGCTCATTGTTAATGCTGATATCGTATTCAAAACATTGAAAGCAGTTTATTTGCACTGTCCTGTCTATCAAATTCAAAGGCTGAAATGAAAATACAGCTAAGGTGGAGCCTTTATATACAGAGGCTCAAACAAAGTCTGACCTCCTGATCCCTTCAGTCGCCTATTAAAACAAGCATAGTCGCCTTTTACAGCAAGCATGGGTTGCTGAAGACCTATTCTACCCCGGATCTCCACGGGCCAGCCACCAAATATGTCATGATATTGAATGAATACTAGCTCACCACTGAAACTTGCAAATATATGTCAGATTTCTGGTCCTAACATTTGAAAATTAATTATACACAAACTTTCTGCTTCATAAACCTCGAGATTTCAGAGGAGATGCTGTAATGCAGCAGAACTAGATCAAGAGTTTAAAATAAAGGTTAAAGGCTGTAATTGGCTAAAAATATCAATACATGCTTAAAAATATATTACATGCATACTTACTTCATAGCAAATTTCATAATGAAACATGAAGTACTGGCAACAATAATATGCCTAATAATCTAATATTGGACTTGAATTCTGTGAGCCCCTTTATAGACACCATAGTATTGGATGAAAAATAAAGTGTTACTGGTAGTGGAAAATTAGGACAAAACATTTTTATAACTGTTGACAAGTGTAAAATTTGACAAACCATTCCTCTTGCCCAATTTGATGAGCCTTTCTACGTATCGCTTAGCTTCTGGAGATATATCAGCTTTGTTGTTCTTCTGGAATGCCACAATGGCATCAAAAACATCCTGTCTCATGCTGCAACACAAGAAAAAAAACATTATGGAAGAGAAAAGCATAAATAATTCTAAAAATAAGTCAAAACAATAATATATGTCTCTCTCTTAGTTTAACGGCAGCATTACTACTTACACATATAGGAAATATACAATGTCACTCCACATACTGACTATCCTCTGACTATGAAAGTCCAGTTTCCATCCTTGCTGAACTACCCTGGAATTTCGTGGCTTGATCGTAGCGACACCAGTGGCTATTACGAGTTATGTCCCTTCTATGTCTGTCCTACTGACCAAATAGATTCCACCTCTCATATCACTTGCATTTATTTCGAACAAAATGGCAGCGCCCAGTAAAAACAATCTCATTTTGATAATCAAGATCTATGTTGTAATAAAATGTGCATCAAATCATTTGAGCACCTTGATAATAAACAGGAAAAGATTTGGAAAATATCTGTTGACGACTAGTTGACAGTACACAGTTTGCACCTTGAAATCCATGTTGTTTACGAACCAGGTGTCCAGTTCGTTGCAAGATTTTGATTGGACTATGCATAGACTTGTTAGTCAGGCCAAAATGTAACTCTGTAATTCCAGCCTAGATGCCAACTGGATTTACAGTCAGTTAACTCACTTGCCTCAGGAAGATATCATACTCCAACATAAAAACATAATAAAGCACCGTCACAAATTAAGTATCTTTATTGCAGTATTGGAGTCTTGACACGACAAACCAGTGAATGTTGTTATGTTCAACGTCCTATGCCATCAGGGAACAATGACTCAACATGAACTAAGCTATGGAGTCTGACAACCCAAACCATGTTGTCACCTCTCAACCATAGGTTGAGACCTATTGTAACCTGTAGTCCCCACAGTGACAAAAACTAAAGGGGTTCAAGTGTTCATGCTAATAACCGTTAGGTCTTTGGTTAGTATTAAACATTCCCCAAAATAATTATAAAATGAATTTCACAAAGATATTTTCAGCCAGCAGGCTGGTCAGGTAAAATAATTTTTTAGATAATGCTTTCCATTTAAACTTAAAGTCAAAGAGTAAATTCCATTCCTATACTGTCCTACCTTGACGTTTTTTTAACATAGAAACATTTCAACAGGCCCCTCAGAGAGACTTTTAAAGAAAAGTTTCAAAATTGCATTTATATTCTGTTTGCAGATCGTAAACAAAATTCATGGTTGTTCTCACTCTGCTAGAAATCTCACCTCATTTCTACTTCAAATTCGGACAGTTTCTTATCTGCCTCCACGCTGACATCTCGGAGTGCTTTATCTGCATACACATGTTGCACAAAGTCCAGGTTATTCCTCTTCACTGAGTACTGGCAATCATTGTCTGCAAGTGCCTAGATTCAAACAGTTTTAGTCACTGAAGTAAGTTATGTTTGCAGCGGTTTTAAATTACAACTGACAGGTCCACATCAAGTATATTAATCACTGGTACTTGTGCATTCAGAAAAATCATTAGACTCAAAATACATGACCAAAAACAAACACACTTATCCTAAAATATGATTAGACAGGCATAATGCAAGCCTTTCAGTGTGATTTCATATCGTTTTGCATCATTATATACGTACACTACTATAACAGTGACTGTGACGTGCATGACAACACAGCTCTACACATCTGTAGGGCTTTGATGACAGCTTTGTGGATCCATACAACCAATGTAAATAAAGGATATAGTTCACAAATGGAAATAGTCTTCCATCTCTTCGGATATTTTCTGAATGAAAGTTAAACATTTCAGGACATATGTTTCTGTAAATGTGTAGACTTGTCAAACACAGATGAAAAACATGTTCAATATCTTGACTGGACTGTGTGAGATGTGACGATGTAGCAGAGGTACTTGGTTCGCCGCATGGAACTCTGGGTATGACAGTGTGGCTTCAAAAGCCCAAGGCAATTATATTGTAATCATTGTTTTGATAAACAATAGCTTTAATCAAGCTGGCAATTTGTATTTTGTAACTCATCCGTAAAAATCACGAGCTTTCTCTTCAATTTGCCTCCAATGAAAACATGACCAGAGTCAGTTCTTTGGCGCAGTGCTTGGGTTGTTGGCTTCGCTATCTGGAGATCTGTTGTTTTGGTTTGCGAATTGAATCGTGCATTAACTAAAAGTGTCACATCACACTCGGACGTTATGTAGCAGGGCGTGGAGTCATACCACAGATGACATCCTTACCTTGTCAGCTTGCTGACGGGGTTAACCTCTTTGGTCATGTGGACAAGGCGTCCTCCCTTTGATCAGAAGGTCCGTGGTTCGAATACCATCATAGGACTTGGAAATATTATGGCCGCTACATTGGCACCCAACGTGGGGCTGCCACTATGCGGCCAGGGACATGCCTTCTGTTGACGGTGGAGTATGTAGCAGGGTGTGGAGTCATCCCACAGATGACATCCTTACCTTGTCAGCTTGCTGACGGGGTTAACCTCTTTGGTCATGTGGACAAGGCGTCCGACCTCTGATCAGGTCTGTGGTTTGAATCCCATCACAGGACTCGGAAACGTTATGGCCGCTACATCATGAAGAAACACCTAGAACCGTCGACATACTGGCCCTTTAACAAGAGTCTGTTTGGTTCATCATTTTTGGATAAATATTTCTCTCTTCTAATGAAAATTAGCAAAAGTAAAATGAGATGTGATTATGTGCACAGGGTATAACAGGGGGTTGGCATTGATAGGTTCTCCGAGTTTACTGGTTGCTAGCTACCTATAATCATTCAGTACCCTTTTTTTGAACGACACCTATTTTCGAAAACACCCAACATTGGGTTCATGTGAAGTACTGTACACCTGTCAGAACATTCTGATGTCATTCAGAATGTTGGTGCCCTGGCTTCATGATGAAAAGGTCAAAGTAGTGTGATGCTACAATTTGAAAAATATTTATATCTTATGAATAGGTCTCAAATTTTCAGTTACTTTTGGACTTTAATGCCAACCTTACTTATGTTGAGAACTGAGCGCCAAACTATTTGTGTTCATTTCATGGAAATCTAAAGCTCCAAACCAAGCAGGTGTTTGAAAATAGGTGACGTACGTCACTCAAGTTCAGCAGAAGCTTACAAACGAGTCAATGGAGGTCATGCCTTTTATCAAGGATTTTCGTTTTCTTTCGGAATGTAGCTGAATTCAGCTGTTGAAGATAACGCCTACTGGTATGAAGCAGAATTTGAGTTTGATTCTTCACCCATCCCTCGAAATAACAGCAATGATAATATTGATATCTTAACTGTTTCGCAAATGTTTTTTTACGTTATGTGTAACATTGTTAAAATGTGCAAAAAAAGAAGTATCAAATTTATATGAACAGGATAGTTTTTCATGCATCTGCACATGCATGTATGGCAAATACACATTGTTTTTGGTATACAATTTGATAACTATGACAAACTTGCAATCAAACTCAACAAGGCTAAAATGACCATATGTGTGCACGAAAACCGGACAACAGGATATCATACTTACAACAAATATTGAATGCTATACATGTCTATCTTATATGCTAGTATCATAGTATGTGTATTACTTCTCGCTGTACCTTAACAACGTTCCTATAATTGACTTCTTCCGGTTTCAACAGCCCAACTGTATCGTACGCAGCTTTTGTTTTTACAATGAGTTCGTCGGCAGATGTCTTTATATCGTCTGCTGTTATTTTCCAGGACAACAGGTTACCGGTTACCGACATGCTTCTAACTTGGACGAATGTGTGACTTGTGAGCAAAGAAATCAAAGGCGAACACCTGATGCGGTTAATATGCGTAGGGTTGAGAGTAACTGATAACAATTTGACTACGGATCTAACAGCTGTTAGCCTACAAATGTTCATTCGTGATCTGGTTTTGTTTTCGGAGAAAAGCGTGTCGGAAGCCACGAGCAGATAACTCCGACTCCTTCCGGTTGAACGCACGACAGCTCTGAGTTGCCTACCTTGGCTTTTGTGTTTCAAATCACTACATTCGGGTACATATATTAATATTTTGTATAAAACCCAAACTATTACGTCATTGTTATCTTTATTTGCACATTTCCTACTCTACTGGGTTTCATACCACCGCGACTGTTCATGATATTTATTTTATTCTAGTTTCTTATTGGATAATGGATACTCATCTGTTAACAACGTATTTTGGGGGGTTCTAAATAGCATTACTGAATTATTGAAATCCTCGGGTCAGAAATTATTCTGTGTTTTTGTCGATTTTAGAAAGACTTTCGATAATGTGTGGAGGTATGGACTATGTCTAATTTAACATCTTATGGTGTCGCAGCAAAATTATTCACTCTAATCAGAAATATGCATGATGTTATATGCAAATGAAAACAATTAGCCAATCAAATCAAGCCAGGTGTGACATGCGCAGAGGGCATCTGGTACCATTCTGAATGCCTGGTCGTTATTAGGGACTAGCAGATATGAGCTAAGAACTTTTCAAGTAAGAGGTAAGTGTTCCACGTTTGTACTAGAACTATTAAAAAATCAAATATATACCCGTTCGAAATAAATCTCACAATCAAAAGCTCACTTACAAAATAGAATTTACTTCCAGTCAACAGATGTCGTCTGCTCACGAAACAAGTTGCATGGCGGCAAACTATGAAATAGACGATGTATAAAATTATATAATGACTCAAACATATGTTATTCACAATCAGTAGGATTGGAGAAAGGCTCCCGACGCTTCCTCGGCCCTTTCCTTTTCAGAAGTACAGAATTATTAATATACCAAATTACCAATACATGTAAGCAACAGTATCGTTGGATCATACGTTTTCGGACGGCTATGTTTATCGCGATTGCTCGCGCTATAACGAGGAGTGTAGCGTCACCACACAACCATTGTATATACTCAGATGGCTTGTTTTTTAAGATAATGTTGTCTTTTATATGTGAGTTAGATGTTTTACAGTTGTTCTTGTGATTAGCGAGAAAACGCCCGAAAACCCATAACACAGGGATATTATTTAAAACAAACATAATTGGACACACAAGATGTTATTAAATTATATTACATTTTTCCAGGGTTTATTATCACATGCATAAATGGGTAGTGGTAGTTGAGGAAGGGATAGTGGTAGTTGAGGAAGGGATAGTGGTAGTTGAGAAAGGGATAGTGGTAGTTGAGGAAGGGATGGTGGTAGTTGAGAAAGGGATAGTGGTAGTTGAGACAGAGACAGTGGTAGTTGAGGAAGGGATAGTGGTAGTTGAGGAAGGGATAGTGGTAGTTGAGAAAGGGATGGTGGTAGTTGAGGAAGGGATAGTGGTAGTTGAGAAAGAGACAGTGGTAGTTGAGGAAGGGATAGTGGTAGTTGAGGAATATATATATATATATATATATATATATATATATATATTTATATATATATATATATAATATTTTACATATATACTACATCTATATTTTACATCTGTATATGGGTTTAATCGTAGATTATGTTCAGGGTTACCAACTATGATTGATCTGCGATCTAAATCAATAACCTGTTTTGAGGTGGATTTGTACCATTTCACAAAGTGCTGTATTAATTCCTGTACTTCGTTGCAAGTAAAGAAAATGTGTTCTAACGTTCCAGGTTCATTTTCGCAGAAAGTGCATGAACTGTCATTACGCCTGCCTGTTTTGTGCAGAAATGAATTTGTAGCAATAATTCTGTAAATTAGTTTAAATTGATAGTTACGCTTTTTATTGTTTCCCATTTTGGACTCAGGTAGTTTAAATTATAACTGTTCTTTTTCTGAAACAGTTTATATACAAATTTATAGTCGTCTGTGTAAGTTGATCCAATTTTCGGTGTTTTCGTCTTGTATCCTAAGTGCGTCAACCCATTTCCCCGGAAGAAAGTCCCCTTCAATGCGAATTCTCTTTTTAACTCTTTAAATGTTTTGAGGTTCCCGTTCGGTTTAAAACGGTGCCCATTGTTTGAATGTGTTGTTTAAAACAACTAGATAAGTATCTTTCAACGGTACGTAATTTAAGAAAGAAAGATTTAAAAATTGATTAGTATTTTCGATGTTATCTTCGTTAACTATGCAATAATTTGAGTTGCGTCTTTCCCAAATGTGTTATTAACATTTTAAGCGATTTTATGAAGTAAACGTGTTTGGAAGTGTAATATATTTATGTCGCCCTGGGGAAATATAATAGATTTGGCAAGTGCTTGCCACATACCTGTTGAATTCAAGAATCTCCTTACCCATTTAACTTTCAAGTATTAAAAAAAGGCGACTATATCTATCAAGTTTTAGTCCTCCTTCCCTGTAATCATTCGAGAACGTATTACGTTTAATTTTGTCACGCCCACAGGACAATATATACTGAAAAAATAAGAAGTTGAGCCGTTTAAATAAATTATTATTTGGGTCAAGGAGTGCTGTATATAAATGCGTGAAAAGGGGTGTGATTTGGGATTTCAGAATTGTTATTCTTCCTCTCAGTGTGAGCGATCTCCGCTTCCATGAGAAAAGTACCTTACGGAATTTTGATATCTGCCTTTCAAAATTAATATCACACATTTCCTGAGTGTTTGTTGAAAATGTTATGCCCCAGATCTTGAAAGGTTCTTTGGACCAGCACAGTGGGATGTGGGGACGTAGTTGTTCGCTGGTGTCTTTCATCGATCATGTCGCTTTGGTCTTATCACAGTTTAGCTTAAACCCTGAACACGTAGCAACGTGTTTAAATATAGTAATGGCCTACTGGGCCAGTGACGATCCGGGTTATCATAGGTCTTCAGCAGCCCATGCTTGCCGTAAAAGGCGACTATGCTTGTCGTAAGAGGCGACTAACGGGATCGGGTGGTCAGGCTCGCTGACTTGGTTGATGCATGTCATCGATCCCAATTGCGTGGATCGATGCTCGTGTTGTCAATCACTGGATTGTCTGGTCCAGACTGGATTATTTACAGACCGCCGTCTTATAGCTGGAATGTGTTGCTGAGTGCGGCGTTGAACAACAATCCGATCCTAATATGGTGATGAGTTAAGACAAACTCTTTTCCGAGCCATCAAGTGTATAATTTGAATCATTAGCATACTGGAAAATACAGTAGCGTACGCCTTAACATTTATTCCTCGCATAGTTTGATTGTTCTTTATTTAAACTGACAACAGCTCTGTGCATATAATCAATAGATAGGGCGATAACGGGTTACCATGTCTGCAACCTCAGCCAAGGGTAAAAAGTCTGATACTAGTATATGTCCCGAATGAATAACAGCGCTAACACTTTGGTCAGGAAATATTTTTATCCATATTCTAAGGGAGGGGCGGAAATTAAATGCTTTAAGAGCTTTATCAATAAATTCCCAAAGTCAACTGTAATGAGTAATACTGGAATTTGATTAATGTCACAATGATACCTCAAGTCATAAAGTATTCTGGTACTATCACCTATAAATCTGTTTTTCAAAAACCCTGTTTGAGCTTCTATTATTATATCGAGTAATACTTGTAAGCCCCGGAGGCGATTTTAATATCGACATTGAACAGACTTAATGGACGCCAGTTCTTCAAAAATCTTCTATCGCGAGCCTCTTTGGGGATACATGTAATTATTCCCTATTTCTGAAATTGTGAAATGGTTCCTTTCTTTTCATAAGTATATTTTATAGATCACTATAATAGTGGCCCTGTTCTCTTCCAAAAACATTTATAAAATTCCACGGAGATTCGATCTGAGCCTGGACGTTTGCGACTTTTCATCCTTTTCTAAAAAATTCTGAAGATTATTTAAAGGATATTGGATTTTCACATGATTCTTTCATGCTATCCGTCAGTTTGATTTAAATGTTTGTAAACAAGTTCAAAATTTCCTTCCAAGTTTCGGCTCGTCTGCTTCTGTATAAACCTATACAGTACAATGAAGTCGTGTTTAATATTTCTTCTCTATTAGTCAAATGTTATTGGAATCATCAATGATTTCAGTCATATTTGTATTGCCGTAATTTCTTTTGTCTAAATTTAGAAAGAATTCAGTATCTTTCTCTCCCTCTTCGTCCCATTTAGCTTCACTCCTAAATATTATCTTTTCTTACCGGATGTCTTCCAATGCATGTTGTTGGTCGTCGTTTTATCTGCCTTCTTTATTCAAATGTTAAAAAATAAGTTAGTTATATTGGATATCGTTTCCAAGTCTCTAATTTGTGTTTTCCTTCATTTTTTATAGAATATGCGATAGATTCACTATGAATTATCATTTTCAATAGTTCGAAAACGTATTGATCATTTACAGTGAAAAGTATATTGTTCATATCCTCTCAGTTACCTGATGAGAAGTCTTTTTTTGTCTGCGTCTAATACTTGATTGTAACTACCCCGTGTCATAATATAAACCAGCATTAAAAGTAAATTTTTGAAGATATGTAGCGCCCCTTGCTGCTTCTAACTGTACCCTTTCTTGTCTAACAGTTGATTCTACAGAGAGCAATCATACATTTATATACATTTAGTATATATTCAAGGAAGTAATCTCTCACATCACTTGCATTTCTTTCAAACAAAATGGAGTTTTGACCATCTGCTCGATAATTAAGATAATAAAACGAGTCTTACCTCGCGAAGTGCATCAAGCCACGTAAGCGCATTGATTAAAAACAGAAAAAAAAGATTTGGATAATAACTGTCGACGCCAAGTTGACAGTACACATGTTTTGCAAATCCTGCTGTCAACCGAAATCTGCACGTTGAAATCCATGTTGTTTACGAACCGGATGTCTCGTTCGTTACACGATTTTGATTGGACTATGCATAGACTCGTTAGTCCAGCCAAAATTGCAGCCAAGATTGGCAAGGGTGGAAACTGGACTTTTATAGTCAGTTAACACCCTTGCTTAGGGAAGATTGTCTCATGGATGACACCATTGTAGATGATGATTGTATCACAC